AAAGCCCAGGCCAAACACCAGGCAGAAATAGCCAAAGCCCAGGCCAACCAACAGGCAGAAATAGCCAAAGCCCAGGCCAACCAACAGGCAAAAATAGCCAAAGCCCAGGCCAAACACCAGGCAGAAATAGCCGAAGCCCAGGCCAACCAAAGGCAGAAATGGCCAAATTGGAGTTGACTGAATGACGAAGAGATTCAGCAACAAAGACGGCACGGGCTGCAGCATGGCGGAAGATAGCTGACAACTCCTCCCTCCAATTCAACCTCGAAGACTTGGGAGAAGAGAGCCCAGATACATGGGTCAAAGCCTACATAGATGAGCAGCACTCGCTTCGCAACGAGCAGATGCAGCCGCCTCGGTTCGCTAGCAGTCTCCCACAACCAGAGAAACACAGGGATGAATCTCAACCACAGACTCTACATGTTAGTTATGCTACTGACATACGACCTAAAATACAAGATTCACTTCCCTCCAACAGCAAACCTTCCCCAACTGGTGTTGGAGATTCTCTTCCCAACTCCAGCAACCCTACTGCAACATCTCACGCCCTGCTGGCTGAGCAACGTAGCCCACCAGTGCTCACACCAACTTCTCAACAAGTTGACCTGCAACCAATCACAACTGCCACACTCAATCCACAGGCAGCAGCATTCTTGCCACAACCTCAATACCAATCCGGCTCCCAGGTACCACAAGGTAGCCGTGCCCAACCTACACAACAGCGTGACGCTTGACCATCATCCCCAGTATGGGAGGACGACATCCTCCGTAAGTACTGGAAAGAAGACTACAACCCGTCGTTGACTTACAACCCAAACCCACCCTATGAGAATCCAGGGGGAGAACCCTCTATGTCAATACCTCCTCCCAACTCAGCAAATGCTGAAGATCACTGGAGAAACTTGGCTGTACAGAGTGGAAAGATAAATTTGCACGCCAATGGAGTTTGCAGATTCTCTAACAAGCCAGGCGGCGAATATCTAGTTTGGAAGAAACTTTTCCTGCGCCCCGTTCAGGTGGCACGCCTGAAGCCTGATGAAATAATTGGACACTTGATAGCATGGCTAGGGCCACAGTCTGCTGAAATATCAAGGGCACTTTATGCATCCCACTTAGACGACCTGGCCGCTGCCCTACGGTTATCATGGAAAAGTCCCACAAAATGGGACTAATGGAAAAAGAGGAACTAGCACAGA